CGGGGCAGCTGGGACCACGGCTACGGGGCCACGGCCGGGAGCGCAGCCATGGCGCGGAGCATCTCACACCAACGGCGTGGTCCTGGGTCTGCGGAGGAGAGCGTCTTGCACCAGCATGTGTCCGTGGCTGGGAGGATCTCGCCCAAGTTCATGCCCATGGATGGGAACATCTTGCATGAGCGCCAAGGCCACAGATCCACACGTGAAAGCATCTTCTGTGTGTCCACGGGTGGGAGCATCTCACAAGAGCACCAGGGTCATGTGCCTACAGAGGGGAGCATCTCAGCCGCGTTCATGCCCGTGGAGAAGAACATCTCGCCCATGGAGAAGAACATCTCACCCACGTCCACGCTCATGGAGAAGAACGTCTCGCCCGAGTCCATGCCCGCAGATGAGAGCACCTTCCATGACCATCAAGCCCATGGATCCACGTACAAGAGCATCTTCCACATGTCTACAGATGGGACCATCTCCCCGAGGTCCGTGCCCACGGATGGAAGCGTCTTCCACGAGCAGCAAGGCTGGCGATTCGCTTGTGAGACCATCTCGCGCGTGTCCATGGGTGGCAGCATCTCAAACGAGCACCGTGGCTATGTGCCTACAGACGGAAAGATCTCACCCAGGTCAGTGTCCATGGATGGGAACATCTCCCCCATGTCCGTTCCTGTGGATGAGATCATCTTGCAGGAGCACATGCCGATAGATGGGACCGTATTGCCCAAGACCACGCCCATGGATGGGACCAGCTCTCTCAAGTTCATGCCCATGGATGGGACCACCTCTCCCAAAGCCATGCCCACAGATGGGACCACCTCGCTCAAGTTCACGCCCACGGATGGGACCACCTCGCCCAAGTTCATGCCCATGGATGGGACCAGCTCTCTCAAGTTCATGCCCATGGACAAGACCACCTCTCCCAAGGCCATGCCCACAGATGGGACCACCTCGCCCAAGTTCATGCCCATGGATGGGACCAGCTCTCTCAAGTTCATGCCCATGGACAAGACCACCTCTCCCAAGGCCATGCCCACAGATGGGACCACCTCGCCCAAGTTCATGCCCATGGATGGGACCAGCTCTCTCAAGTTCATGCCCATGGACGAGACCACCTCTCCCAAAGCCATGCCCACAGATGGGACCACCTCGCTCAAGTTCACGCCCACGGATGGGACCACCTCGCCCGAGTTCATGCCCATGGACAGGACCACCTCTCCCGAGTTCATGCCCATGGATGGGACCAGCTCTCTCAAGTTCATGCCCATGGACGAGACCACCTCTCCCAAGGCCATGCCCGTGGATGGGACCGCCTTGCCCAAGGCCATGCCCACAGATGGGACCATCTCGCCCAAGTTCATGCCCATGGATGGGACCAGCTCTCTCAAGTTCATGCCCATGGACGAGACCACCTCTCCCAAGGCCATGCCCACAGATGGGACCATCTCGCCCAAGTTCATGCCCATGGATGGGACCAGCTCTCTCAAGTTCATGCCTATGGAGGAGACCACCTCACCCAAGTTCATGCCCATGGACAGGACCACCTCACCCAAGTTCACGCCCACGGATGGGACCACCTCGCCCAAGTTCATGCCCACAGATGGAACCATCTCACCCAAGGCCATGCCCACGGACGGCACCACCTCGCCCACGCAGTGGCACCCCGAATTGAGCGAAGAGGAAGAGGAGGGTGACGATGAAGATGACCATGGCTGCTCCTCCCGGGAGGAAGACGCTGAGGAAGAGGAGGACCTGGAGGAGGAAGAACCCTACTTCCACACCAACCCCCTCTTCCAGAGCCGGGTACCGCC